GCAGTAGCTGCAGTTGAAGCATTAGCATTACTTGCATGCATTTGAGTTAGCATTAAGCAAAGTATAGCCACCAGTATTACCAATATGATGCTTAGTAATACTGCGATAACAACAAGGGGTTTACTCCATGCTGACTGCTTTGCTTCCTTTGTTATTGTTGTTACCTCTACTGCTTGAGACTGTTGAATATCAGTTGGTATTACACGAGTATTAATATCCAGCATTTCATATACATTTTCCTGATTCTGTTGATCTGCTGATGAAAAATCACTGAAATATCTATCCTTTCCTTCCATTTTTAGTTTTAACTTATGACTTATCTGAACTCTTTAAACTTGATACAGCGATCACAATAACTATCCATGCATACACTGAATCTATATACTATTAGTAGATAAACTTTAAGCACTTACGATAATGAAAAACAAGCACTTAATGTCAAATTAATCCATTCATCAAAGTCAGGACAATTGTTTGCGTTAGCAGTAGCTGCAGCTGAGCCATTAGCATTACTTGCATACATTTATGATTCATAGTAATACAGTAATAAGAACAAGGGGTTTACTCCATGTTGACTGCTTTGCTTCCTTCCTCTACTGGTTGAGACTGTCGAGTATCAGTTGGTGTTATGTTAGTATTAATATCCAGCATTTTATATACATTTTTTGATTTGGTTGAGCTGCTAATAAAAAATCACTGACATACATGTATCTGTCCTTTCCTTCCATTTTTAGTTTTAACATATGATTATCTCATAAGCTCTTTAAACTTGATACAGAAACAACAATAACTGTGCATACACTGACTCCATATACTTTTAATAGATAAACTTTTATCACTTATGATAATGAAAAACAAGCACTTGATGTCAAAATAATATTTGTTTAAGAGAATGCAAGGCAGAAATATAATTACATTATGTACAAATGTAGCACAAAGTCATAGTTGCATAATGATTTGATTTTGTAATTTTTTTATTAATTAACTGAATCATTTTTGTTGGTAAAGTTAGACACAACTTAAGCAACGAAAAAGTGAAATGTTAGAATTAATCTTTTTTTTCTGATTGTCAAGAACGAAATAGAATAGACTATTTTCCCAACAAGTTAGTAAAAAATTATAATACTGGAAGACTTTACTGTTGGATAGTTATAGTCACAAGTACATATGTAAATTTTTAGCTTATAAGTTACAATTATTGTTGGGAAATATTTAGTGCCTATATTAAATGATTTACAATGGTCTTTATTATTGTTATTGTTACTATAGGTCTTTGGATTGGGCAATAACTATATGAACATTATAATGAGATGGGACGCTACGTTGATCAGAGATTAGAAGAATTAGGAGGAGGGAAAATAAATATATGTGAGAGGAGAAGGAGATGATGATGGGAAGTAAGTGAAACATTAAAAAAAGGAGAGGGAGGAGGTTAATAGATAATACATATAGATACATGTGCATGTACTTTTACTGGTGCCTTTGCAATTATGCATACATGCATATAATGCATAAATATACAATTATTATACATAACTTCCTCTTCCCCTCCCTCTTGTCTTCCTTTTCTTTTCGCTTTCTCTCTCTCTTCCTTTCCTCTCTCCATCTTTTTTGTAGCATAGTATTGAAGAGGATTTCATTACATGGAAGGAAGATTTAGGCCTGAGGTGATGCAGTATTTCAAAATAGATTCAAGTCAAGCAACAGCTGTTGGTAGAGAGTATGAGTTCAGTCTTCATACTGAGATATCAACTGATGAAGTATTTACTGGAGAACCAAACAGACTAGGATCATATAAGAACCAGAAAGTGTAAGGATCTCTCTCTTTCCTTTTTTTGTCCCTTGTCCTTTCTATATGTACATGTGTACATGCATATGCTGTACTACATGTACATGTACTTGTATATATGGGTATTTTAAGGCACTAAATGATATGTTTTACTTCATTATATTTCGCTGTTGGAAAATCCATGAGAATTAAGCAAAATAGCACATACATGTACATGTACATGTACATTTATGTATTAGTTGGTATACCTTACAGGCAGAATTAATGAATTATTGCTGGTTATGGGTTAATTATTATGGCTGGTTATGGGTTTTAGATTTCACATTGGTAATTTAGCAGCCCATGTGTCATGAGCATGTTCAGAATGAAACAGAATGGCTGATTTCATATTGGCAGTTGCTTACTGCAGCCATCAATCAAATAATACTAATTCCCCATTTCCAATGTTTCAAGAATTGCATACCCGAATCAATGAGTTATACTACCATATAGCAGGTTTTTTAGGATAATAATTTTTGCTAATTACCTGTATTTGAAGGTTCATGAAATTAATATAACATCACCCAGTGCGGAGGGAAAGGTTGGTAGAACTGTGTGGGTTAGTGGCTAGGATTTTAATTTTAAAAGTTAATCACATTCTATGTTACATGTACATGAATGTCACTGTTTCTTTCTCTCTCTCTCTCCCCCCCCCTCTCTTTCTCATAGGCTGAATACATTTGTTGGGTTGTTAAGCTCAGAGGAGTATTGTTGCTGTCATGGTATCCTCCTTCAGACCACCACTTACCTCTTGGAGCTGTTGCCATGGTTACAGGCTTGATATTACTCAATATCCTCATCTCCAAAGGTAAATATAAAATAGTAAAAATTATGAATATGTACTTATAATACATGTAATTACAAGTATTATTATTATTGTTTTTGTTGTTGTTTTAGTTGTATCCAAATTCAGTGCATGTCACTGCTCCACTTTTTGAATATTGTACAACTGGTCAGAGTAAGCAGGGTGTGGCTACAAGCTTGTTCACACGATTGAAAAGTACAGGATTAATACGTATAATACTTTAATTTGGCAGTTTTATTTTGGTGATTGGCGGTTCGCAAGTTGAATT